ACACCTTGTTATCTCAGATTCTCCAGCATCGGCAGTTCCCACTATCAGCGAATTATTTATCTTTTCCTGTATTTTCCTGTTAATATCTTGTAATACTTCACTCAGATAACTCCTGAACTTTCAACATTCTAGCAAGAACAGGCCTCATTTGTATAACAAAAACAGAAATTGCTCAGCAGGTCTGGCAGCATCTGTGGGAGAGAAAGCAGAGTTAATATTTCGGGTCCATTAACCCTTCTTCAGAACTAACTTGCCTGATCTCTCCTCATACCTTCAAAGCAGAAGAAACTAGAACAGATGACAGAACACTGAGATCAGAAAATGCTGCAGCAGCAGTGAAGTTGGGAGTCTCTGTCAGTGGAGAATTGTACCAAGAATGCTGCTCGGTGAATTGCTGTCACTGTTCCAGTGTCTGGATAAGGCTGACCAGTCAGTGAGCTGGAGATGTATTGTTCAACAGATAAAACCAGACAGCAGATCAGCAGCAGATTAAAACAAGTTCAGTTGTAACAATGCCATACCAGGGATGCCAATAAAAGCAAGGATGGTGTAGAACACCTTCTCCACATTTTGAATTAGTCAATGCATTTTTCTGTGCGAGGTGATCTGTCCCTTCAAGCAGCTGACAAGCTCCTTGTTTGAAAATCTGAGCTGATACATTTCCGGAGACGTTGCCTTATACTGTGTGGAAGCTTCTTGTGGAGATCGAAGTTACAAAGTTGCTCAGCTTTGTTGCTGTTTTCTGAACTTCTGTAAATGAGCAACTAACTACAATAACAAGTTTAATCCCAATTACGAAGGAGTGTTGCTGCTCAGTACATTATAAAGAAATAACAAAAACAGAATCTGGAATCTGCCAGCAATAACACTGTCCACACAAACACATTGAACCCCATCCCGAGATCACAAATTATTTTAACCAATGCTGCAGAGACAGTTTATTCCAAGTGTGAAAACATATCTCAGAGCTGTCCTTCTGTACTCTAGGGTAGGAACTGCCCTCTTTAAACAAGAACATTTCACTCACTGATTGAAAGGTGATTCTTCTCACACACTGAATGTGTGCATTGCTGCCGAGGTCAGCATTTAGTCCCCATCCCCATGTCCCAGGATCTGGAGTCACATGAAGGATCAAGTGAGAACATCCTGCCTTTCTTGAAGGAAGAGGACTCAGTGAACAAGATGGGCTTTCAACAATGGGGACATCGCTGACCTCACTCTTACTGATAGTGTGCACTGACAATGCATGCTTATTGGTGATTCAGCAATGATGTTTCAATGCTCCTCTGATTGCTGATGGCTGATTGATATTAGGGTTTAAAGCAGAGGTGGCTCAGTGGTCAGCACCACTGCCTCACGGCGCCAGGGACCTGGGTTCAATTCCACCCTCAGGCGACTGTGTGGAGTTTGCACATTCTCCCCGCGTCCGCGTGGGTTTCCAGTTTCCTCCCACAGTCCAAAGATGTGCAGATTTAGGTGGATTGGCCGTGCTAAATTGCCCGTAGTTTTCAGGGATGTGTAGATTAGATGAGTCATAGGGGAATCAGTCTAGGTGGGGTGCTCTGAGGGTCGGTGTGGACTTATTGGGCCGAAGGGCCTGTTTCCACACTGTGGGGATTCTATGATTAGGTTGTGTATCACACATACACCTGGTCCAAGCTTTTAGGCTCAAACTTATCAGGGTGTTCTGAATAAATCCCAACATATTTGGAAACAATACAGCAATGCTGTGTGAAAAGAGAGTACAGATAGTTTGGCAAAAAGGCTTTAGTTGATAGAGGACATGCTTGCCATGGATAATAGACCAGTTACATGATGACTGACAGTTAACTGCCAAGATTAATTTAACTTTGAACCTGGCAAGTTTACTTTGATTGTTTATAGCACTGTCCTGAAGAATGAACCAGATAGTGTTTGTTAAATTGGAACAGGAACATTGCATGTATTTTCCTTTTGTCTGTGTGACTCTGTAAGCCCTGTTGCTTGCAAGATGGAAAATTTGATTAAACATGTCTCTTTTAAGCAATACTCAAATTCTCGTCTGTCAAACAATTATTGACAATAGGGTGGCTTTTGGATGACTGTGTGGAGTTTGCACATTCTCCCTGTGTCGGTGTGGGTTTCCTCCGGGTGCTTTGGTTTCCTCCCACAGTCCAAAGATGCGCAGATTAGGGCAGCTTGGCCATGCTAAATTGCCCCATAATGCCCAGAGATGTGCAGGTTAGGGTGGATTGGCTGTGCTAAATTGTCCCACAGTGTCCAGGGACGTGCAGGTTAGGGTGGAATGGCCATGCTAAATTGTCCCATAGTGCCCAGGGATGTGTAGGCTGGGTGGGTTAGCCATGGGCAATACAGGGTTATAGGGATAGGATAGGGGATGGGACTGGATGGGATGCCCTTTGGAGGGTCAGTGTGGACTCGATGTGCTGAATGGCCTCTTTCTGCACTGTAGGGATTTGATTCTATTTGAATTCTAACATTGGTAATTGTGACAATGTAAAATTCAGAACTTTCATAACTGTTTTTGCTGAAAAGAATCAGTAATAACACTTTTCGGAATAAATTGCTCCCAGAGATAAAGGGACAAGGAATTAAAAACCATCTCTGGAAACAGAAGGACTTCATGCTCCATAAATAAACTCTTTGAGAACTGGCCAAAGGCATTAGTGATTGTCCAGTAGAAGAATTTAAGGAGTTAATGGCCAGGCAGGCTGTGTTTCCAACAAACAGCTAACACCGACTGTGACAAGGAGCAGAGACACAAGGTTGAGAGCAGCTGACTTTCACTCCCGGTAAGCTACTGACTAGGTGACCTCAGAAGTGTCACAAATAATGTCACACCACAAGCTTAACAAGATAGAAAATCCAATAAAAATTCAACTTCTTCAGCAGAAGAACTCCACGGAACAACACCGTACAAGAATCAAACCCTGGACATATCCAGAGACAGATGCTGTTGGTTGGAATTGTAGCTAAATTCCACCATTAATCAGATTACAGCTGTTTTCTACGAGGCTTAATTTGTTATGTGAGGGATCTTGTTTTGCCTGCTCCATGCAATAAATTTTAAATCATTGCTTCAATATTTTATTGCCTCTGAGATTCCTTAATAAGTAGCCGAATTAAAGGCAACTTCTGGTAATTTACCCACAGCACTATGACTGTCATACTTACTGATAACTGCATTGATGCATCTTTGTCCTTTCTGTCCTTGTGATGTAACCTGCAATAATTTTATTGTTGCATATTCCAGTAAACGTGCATTTCTGTACCAGTGTGTGTCTCTAGCTGTGCTCCAAATAAGCATAGAATTAGCCGCAGAAGTTATCCATTCAGCTCCTGCAGCCTCCTCCACTGTTCAGTACATTCATGGCTGATCTCATCACTTCACATTCTCACTGAAGCTGGAGAAACTTTTAGCTCTGTTTTACCATGAATTTATCTACCTCTGCCTATCAAATATTCAACATCTCTGTATCCACTGCCGGCTGAGAAAGAATATTCCAAAAACATCCTCTGAGAATGTCTGAGAAAGAGAGCAAGCAAGAGAGAGAGTGAGAGTGAGCAAGAGAATGATCAAATGAGTGAGTGAAAGAGAGAGTGAGTGAGTGCAAGTGAGAAAGAGAGAGTGAGCGAGTGCAAGTGAGAAAGAGAGCACGAGAAAGAGAAAGTGGGACAGTAAGTGAGAGTGTGAAAGAGACAAAGAGAGAGAGAGTGAGCAAGACATGGAGAGAGTGAGAGAAAGCGCAATTGAGAGAGTGAGTGAGTGAGTGAGAATGAGAGAGAGCATGCGAGAGAGAGAATGAGTGGGAAAGAAATTGAGAGAGACAGAGCAGAAAAAGAAAGTGTGATTGAGAGGGAGAGCAAGAGAGCAAGTCTGAGTGAGAATGATAGAGAAAACAAAAAAGAAAGAAAATGAGGGAGACTGCATGAAAGAGAATGAGTGAGAGAGAACAAACAAACAAGAGAGATTGAGCAAGGAAGACAGAGAGCCAAAGACAGACAGAGCATGAGAGAGCGAGCAGAAGAGAGAGCAAGTAAGTCGAGACAGCGATAGAGAGTGCGATAGAGACAAAGAGAGAGCAAGCAAGTAGAGAGCGTGAGAGAGGGTGTGAGAGCGTGAGAGGGAACGAGAGAGAGATCATGAAAGAATGAGTGAGAGACAGAAAGTAAGTAGAGAGAGCGAGAGAGAGCATGTGAGTCGAAAGACAGAGCACAAATGAGGCAACAGAGCGAAGGAGTGAGTGAGCAACAGAGCAAGTGAGAGAGTGAAAGAAAGAAAGAGAAAGAGAAACAGAGCAAGTGAGAGGGAGAGTGAGTAAATAGAGAAAATGAGAGACAGCGCGAAAGAGTAAGTGACAGTGCGAGAGAGAGTGAATGAGGTTGAGAGAGCAAGTGAGAGAGAAAAAATGACAGAACAAAAGATAGATAGAGAGACTGAGTGACAGGGGAGGGGTGGATTTGAGGGGCGAGGGGTTGGGGTAAACAGGAGAAGTACCAGGCCGGGGCAGGTAATGGGGGGTTGGTGCCCTGCCCTGGTCTGCTCTCTCAGCTGGGGTTCGGTAGCGAGTGTGAAATGGGGAAGGTCAGATGACTCTAGTTGGAACTGTTTATCAGAGGGGGCTACCACTTATTTGGAAGCTCATAGTCTGGCAAAGAAAAAGTATCTAATGGGAAAATACGGGATAGGATAAAGGGCAAGTAGGTATTAACCGGCAAAAGTAATAATGTCCCAGTGCAAAACTGACTGACAAAGTCTCAGATTAAAAAAAAGGACATGCCCAAACAATAACACACTAAAGGATCGACATCAGCAACAGGCAATGGAATTACATCAGCATTGGCAAGGAACATTCACACCACACAAATATCAGGCAATGACCATGAGACAATCTAGTCATCTAATTGCACAACTAACTACTGCCCCTCAACATTTACTGAACCCCCACTATCAACATCCTGGGGGTTACCATTGACAAGAAACTCACCACATAAATACAGTGGCTACAGGATAAAGTCAGTATCGCGGGCCTCCCATGAGAGTATCTGGTGCTCCAAAAAACATTTAATGGCCTTTTGGTACTATTGCTGCATTGTTAACCCAGAAACCAGTGTAATGTTCTGGGGAATCTGGGTTTAAATAGCACCATGTCAGATGGTGGCACTTGAATTCAATAAAAATCTGGATTTAAGGGTCTACTGATAACCATGCACTACTGTCCAGGGGGTAAAAAAAACCCCATCTGCCTCTTTAGGGAAGGAAATCTGCCATCCTTACCTGGCCACCATGGGACTAGGGTGGCTCAGTGGTTAGCACTGCTGCCTCACAGCACCAGGTACCCAGGTTCGATTCTGCCCTTGGCCACCTTTCTGTGTGGAGTTTTCACGTTTTCCCCATGTCTGTGCAGGTTTCCTCCCACACTCCAAAGGTCTGCAGGTTAGGTGGATTTGCTATGCTAAATTGCCTTGTAGTATGCAGGGTGGGTGGGTTAATCATGGTAAATGCAGGGTCATGGGGATAGAGTGGGATGCTGTTCGGAGGGTTGGGTAGATGTAATGGGCTGAATGGCCTCTTTCCACTCTGTAGGGATTCTATGACTGCAGACCCACAACAATGTGGTTGACTCTTATCTCCCTTCTGGGCAATAAATACTGGTCTGACCAGTGACACCAACATCCCATGAATGAGTTAATAAACAAAATTCAGCCCAGACTATTGGCCAAGGCAATGGTTCCTTCAAACTGAGCTGGGCTTCCCGCGGCAGGGTGCTTATGCTTAACAGGTACCGAGTACGTACGGCAGAATGAGAAAAGAAAGGAGGCCAGTCATCAGGAAACAAATGGGTGAATGCATTGAAACAGACAGGACTAAGGATGGTGGTTGCAGTGTACATGAATGATCTAGACATGGATGGAGGAGGTTTGATCAGTAAGGTGGCAGATGACATGAACTTGCTTGCGTGGGAAGTAGCAAGAAGGAAAGCCTTAGATGGGGCAGGGCTACAGCAATCATGGAAATTGTGAGCTGATATATTTGGGAGGGTGAACAAGGTGACGGAGTACATGATGAATAGTAGGAGCCTATGAAGTTCAGAGAGTCAGAGAGAACCTGCTGTGCATTTCCATAGATCCGTGATAGCAACAAGGCTGGTGAACAAGGAGGTTAAAAAAGCATAAGGGATACTTGCCCATACTAGTTGAGGTATTTATTACAAGAGCAAGGTTAGGCCACAGCTGGAGTACAGTTACAGAGTCCTATAGCACGGAAACAGACCCTTTGGTGTGGAGCAGATGTTGCAGTTAGGGCAATGGTGCGCTCTTCCTGCCAGATGTGGGAGATCAGGGAGCAATCTCATGGCCCTGACGACTATGTCTGCAGGAAGTGTCATCGACTGCAGCTCCTCACAGACTATGTTACAGTTGGAGTGACACTTGGACACATCAAGGAGCTTACAGCGGGCAGAGAATGTAATAGACACTAGTTATAGAGAAGTGGTTACACCATGGGCTCAGTCAGGTAGATGGGTGACTGCCAGGAGAGGCAGGCAGGTAGTGCAGAGTCTCTTGTGGCTATTCCCCTGTCTAACAGGAATACCCTTTTGGATGCTGTTGGGGGAATAACCTCTCAGGGAAGTGTAATAGCAGCAGCCAGGCTTGTGACACCACAAATGGTTCTGCTGTAGAGCAGGGTTGGGCAAGATCCAAGCAAGCGATAGTGCTGGGAGACTCATTGGTTAGGGACAGAGACAGGTATTTCTGTGGGCGCGTTGAGACTGCAGGATGGTGTGCTGCCTCCCTCCTGACAGGGTCAAGGACATCTCTGAGCGGTTGCACAAAGTTCTTAAGGCGGACGGTGAGCAGCGAGAGGTTGTGGTGCATGTTGGTACCAATGACATAGGCAGAAAGAGGGGATAAGGTCCTGCAGAGTGAATACAGGGAAGTAGGAAAGAGGCTGAAAAGCTGGACCTTGAGGGTAGTAATCTCTGGGTTACTGCCAGTGCTGCATGCTAGTGAGGCAAGGAATAGAAAGATAGGACAGACGAATGCTTGGCTAAGGAGCTGGTGCAGGGGGTAGGGTTTCAGGTTCTTGAAATTGGGACCCTTTCTGGGACAGAGGTGACCTGTAGAAGAGGGATGGGTTGCATATAAACTGGAGGGGAACCAACATTCTCACAGGGAGATTCAGTGGTGCTACTCAGGATGATTTAAACTTGAGTGGCAGGGGGCTGGGAATCAGAGCAGCATGTCAATGGAGGGATTGAAATTAAGTTGATGTTAGGACCAATAAGTCAAAAAAGAAAGGACACAGGGACAGGTAAATGAACACAATGGTATTAATCAGCTGAAGTGTGTTTATTTCCATGCCTGGAGTATTATAGGTAAGGCAGATGAGCTTAGAGCCTGGATCAGTACAAGGGACTATGATGTTGTGGCTGTTACAGAGACCTGGTTGAGAGAGAGAGACAGAACTGGCTGCTCAATGTTTTAAGGTTTCATTATTTTAGACAAGATAGAGAGGAAAGTAAAAGTGAAGAAGGAGAGTTGCATCACTAATCAGGGAGAATGTTACATCTACACTCAGGGAGGACATACTGGAGGGCTCATCCACTGAGGCAATATGGGTAAACCTCAAAAATAAGATGGGTGTAGTCACTATGATAGCATTATACTATAGGCCCTCCAACAGCCGCCGAGACATTGAGGAACAGATATTTAGGCAGATTATGGAAAGATGCAATAAAAACAGAGTTTTATCAGTGACTTTAACTTTCCCGATATTGACTGGAACTCCCTTACAGCAAGAGGCAGAATTTGTTGCAGTGGGAGAGCATTTTGGAAACAGTGATCACAACTCCTTAAGATTTAAGATAGCTAGTATCAAGGAGAAGTCAGGACCTTCTGACAAGGTATTAAATAGAGAGATGGCAAATTACATCAGTATTAGACAGGAGCTAGGGAGTGTTAATTGGGAGGAGCCGTTATCAGCAAGCCTACATTCGACATGTGGGAATTATTTAAAGACCTGCTGATGAGAGTTCAGGACTGGTATGTTCTAGTAAGGAGAAAGGACAGGTATGGCAAGGTAAGAGACCCTTGGATAATGAGGCAGGTTATGAATTCAGTCAAATGGATAAAGAAGGACATGTAAAGTTGTGGAAGCTAAAATTGGACAGGGCCAGTGAGGAATATAAAGAAAGAGGAAAGAAATCAAGCAGGGAATTGGGAGAGCAAGAAGTGGGTATGAAATGACCTTGGCAAATAGGGTTAAAGAGAATCCCAAGGCATTTTATATATACATTAAAAACAAAAGGATAACGAGAGAGAATAAAGGAAGGAACTTTTGCTTGGAGGCACAGGATGTGGGCGAGATCCTAAATGAGTACTTTGTATCTGTATTCACCCAGGAAAAGGATAATGGAGGACAGTGAGATTAGTGCGGACCATGCTAATATGCCACAGCATTTTGAAATCAATAAAGAATAAAATATGACAGGGCATGTCCACAAAGGTCCAAACACTTTTTCTTGATTATATAGAATCGGTGGTTTGCTTTCTCAATGTAAAAGTGCCCCAATCTGAGCGTGGGGAGTA